ATCACCACGTCATGATGTGCATACACTTGAGAGCATCAACACTTCCTACCTTCCACCCCCCAACTGGAAGTCTTGGGGCAGAGGTGAGATTTCCTAGCATTTGGGCAGGGCTCCTAGAGGGCCAGGATATAGGTGCCACAAAAGTTAGGAGAGGGACCTTTTGGGTGAGGTTGTTTGGGATAGAAGATTAAGTATGGTGGGCATGGGGTGGCATGGCATGGGGACCAGTATCCTCAAGGTGGTTGGAAGTTTCCCAGGCTTGTTTCAGGAGATTCCCTGATTTAGGCTGGGGCCTGAGCTAAATTTGGGCTAGGACTGAAGTAAGGAAGGGGTCTGCAAAGAGAAAACTGGGGGCACTGCTCACCCTGGTGAAGTTGTCTGGGCCGCAAGGCCGTCCTCGGTAGCGACAGTCCAGCAACATGTCATCCATGGTGTGGCCAGCCCTGGCATAGAGTTCAGACAGGTCATAAGTGGCACTGGGCATGAAGCCAGGGGGTGCAGGGGGCTGGCCCAATTCCTTCAGATAGTCAGCATGCTCTCTAGGCTCAAGGCCCAGCAGGGCAGGTCCAGCCCAGTGCAGGTCATTGAGTGTAATTTGGGACCGTCGAAGTGGGTTGAGGTTGCACAGGGTGACAGCAGGGAAGACAAGGTGGTGGCTTTCATGTTCATCCAACACTGTCACATGGTGGAACTGTCCGTAGTACTCAATCCGGTCTGCCACTTGATAGAGGAAGGCAGTCAGAGAGAGCAGCACTGCCCCTGCCCACAGCCCCCTACGCAGGGTCAGGCCTCCTGGCCCAAAGACATGGCCCAGTCCATGCAGTGTACAGTTGCTGGCAAACACACAGATGTCTGAGGCTGGTCGCCTTGTTTCTATGTCCTCCTCATGTGGACCAGGGAGGGACTTCATGGTTTGGTCCACTGTCAGGCACCAAAAGGGAAGAGGGTTCTAAGAGGGAGAGGACAGGAGAGGAGAAGAGAGGAGGGAGAGAAGGAGAGGAAAGGAGAGGATGGGAGAGGAGAGGAAGAGAGGACAGGACAGGACAGAAAGAGAGGAGAGAAGGAAGGGGAGGGGAGGGGAGGAGAAAGTAGAAAAGGGAGCAAATAGAAGGGAGGAGAGGGGTTAGGGAAGAGAGGAGTGTCAAAGAAAGGTCAGAGAGGAAAGGGTTGAGGAGAGGAGAGAAGGGTCAGGAAGAGGTGGAAAGGGTCCAGACAAGAAGGAGCAAAGAAAACGGTAGGAGAAATGTCAGAGAAAGGGGAGGGTTTGAGAATGGGTCAGTTTAAAGAGGAGAGAAGGGTCAGTAGAGGGGAGACTGGGGAGTTGGGAGGAGAAGGGGATCAACCCAAGACTCCATGAGGGGTAGGGTGGGGGGGAAGATCTGTTGAGCCAGAGGCTTTGAGGCCAGCTGGGGTCTGGCTGGGGCTCCAGTGAGAAGGCTGCTGGCTGTCTGTGGCTCTCGGCTGGGTCCTGTCCGATGCTGATGCTGATGATGCTGATGTAAGGATGAAACTGGTTGTGGGAGGGCTGGGGCTGCTCTGCAGGCCTGCTGGGTTGGGAGGTGCCCGCCGCAGAGGATTGGGTTTCAGCATCAAGGGGGGTGAGGGAGGCCCAGATAAGGGCAGCTTTGGGGAAGGCAGGAAAGGTCCCTGGGGCCACAGACAGCCATTAGTGGGGCACGGAGAGGGGAAAGTAACAGGGGGGATGGCTGTTAGAGACCAGAGGCGCCAACAAGAAACCGCAGAGGCCAGGCCCGGGTAGTGTGAGGGGAACTCCAAGCCAGAGTGGAACGGGGCGGGTGAAAACCTTTGGGACAACTTCTGCTTTATAGTCAGCCACTCACAAAATGCAGGGGTGACCCTTGGGCCACACAATGACCCCTAATCCTGAAAAATTTTCCCTCTCCAGTTCACCCCTTCCCTGATAGTTTTTCTTCAGGTACTAGAAACACATTTTCTATCACAAGGAGCAGAGCTGGATAGTGGCCAGTTTCTGAAGTAGTCAGAAATCTAGCATCATCTCGCTTCTCCTCATCATGACTTTCTTCACTGCCCTAGTCTGCCCACCTGGGCCAAGACTTCTCTACCTTATCACCTTTTCCTTCTCATTGCTTCCTCATCCCATAACCTTGAACCAAATTCACCTGTATACCACCCCCTCATATTCCTCTGCTAGGTGACAGCAAGCTAGTCTGAGACTCATTGACACTAATATAAGTACGGGTAAAGATGATGCTTCAGGGAAACTACCTGCATTTCCAGAAGACTCTCAGTGCTTGAATCCAAAGGAATTCCTTCTAACAGTGGGAATCTTGGGTCCTTATGAAAGGGGGAGGGGAGAGACTTAGGGTAAGACAAGGAGGTCTTTGTATCCTTCCAGATCATTGTCAGTGGCATAATTTTCTACAAGGAGCTAAATATGATGCCTGTGGTAGAGGGAAGAGATTTGGGCAGCAGGGCAGAGTGAAGTGCAGCAAGGGCGATTTGCAGGGCAAAGTAAGAAAGGGAGTGGGGGGGGGATTGGGAATGGGGCACGTGGTGACGGCAGGAACTTAAGCAGAAGCCCATCCTGAAGCACAGGAGGTAGATTCATCCGTGGGCTACTGGGCCCAGCACCCAACTTGGGAGTGACAAGCAATTGAGTGTGAGTTCACCCACCCTGATGGAATTTTGACTTAACACTTGACCCCTGCCAGGTTACATATTTGCAGAAGAACTTTTTTTTGTTTGGTTTTTTTGGCAATTGGGGTTAAGTGACTTGCCCAGGATCACACAGCTGGCACGTGTCTGGTCTGAAGCTGGATTTGAACTCGATTCTCCTGACTTCAGGGCCACCTAGCTGCCCCAAGAACTTTGTTTGAATCCTCACTCTACCACCTGCTCCCTAGGTGACCTTGACCAAGTACCTCTCCTCTTAGCACGTCAGTTTTCTCATTTGTAAAGTGAGACAAGTGAATGAGATCATCTCTAAGGTCCTTCCTTAGAAGGATCCTTCTACCTTTAAATCCTTCGGTATAAGGCATAAGGGAGACCGTGTAGGAGTTGGGGTCAGGAAAATCTGGGTTCAAATTCTGCCTTAGCTATTTACTAGCTATGTGACCTTATATGAGCAAGTCATTTAACCTCCCTGGCCTCAGTTTCCTCATCTGCAAATTGAGGTTGGAGGTCCCTTCTAGCTCTTGAATCTCTTAATTATATAATCTTATACTGAGCCCTCAGACAAAGTTGGGAAGAAAATACGGGGACATGAGGGCCTTTTCAGTCTGCTTTGGGTACTTGGGCAGTGGAACTGTGAAAAATGAATGAATGAGGGTGTGAATCAATTAAAAACAAACAAACAACAACACACACTTGAAAGCACTTGCTATGTGTATAACAGGGCAGCTAGGTGGTGCAGTGGATAGAGCACTGGGCCTGGAGTCAAGAAAATCTGGGCTCAAATGCGGTCTCAGACACTTACTAGCTGTGTGACCCTGGATAAGTCACTTCACCCTGTTTGCCTCAGTTTTCTCATCTCTAAAATGAGCTGCAGAAGGAAATGGCAAACTACTCCAGTGTCTTTGCCAAGAAAACTCTAAATGGGGTCACAAAGAGTTGGCCATGACTGAACAAATGAGCACCACGATGCATACAGCACTGGCCACACACACGGAAAAACAAAAAGCTTTCAAAGTGCTCACATTCCATTTGGGGAAAACAACACACACAGGTTTCAGTTGCAGGTCTAAAGGAAAGGCCCTGTGGTCCTTAGGGTGCATCAGCAAAGTATATGGCAATTCATCTTCTTTAGTGTAATTTCCATTGATAAAACCATATCCGTTTCTGATATGCAGCCATTTAATAGTGCCAACGACTTTGGTGGTGAAGACTTTCTGGGTCTCCAGGAGCTGTGATTCCTAAGGAGGCAGGGACTGCAGCATCTGCAGAGCAGCATCTGTTGTGAGTTGCCAGGTTCTATCTCCACAAGGACTGATCCCCTGGACAGGAGATGGCTTCAGGGGTCAGGCTGGAAGCAGGGCAGATGGTCTGAGTGGTGCTGCCACTCTGCTGGCTACTGAACTTCTGTCTGGCTTGTCTCTCTAGATGGAATTGAACAGGAAGCATCAGACTGAGATTGTAAGGGCTGGGATGAACCAGTGGATGAGGCTAGATGGAGGTGGAAGGGGTGGGGCGGGAAGGTAGCAGGCCCGGAGCCTTAGAGAGATGAGATTTTCAAGGAAGGAGTTTGGGGCACACTCTGAGGACAAATTTAATGATGGGGTCAGGTTATCTTATCACATGCTGGCGAGAGGGAAGAACACTGAAAAAGGGGGTCTCTACTCCAGTGGAGCATGCTGAATTTGGAGTCAGGAAGGCTTAGATTTAAATTTCACTTCTGACACATTAGCTGGGTGACCATGGGCAAGTCACTCAGTTTCTCTAAGTCAGAGTTTCTTGGGCATAGACGAACCTATTGATTCTTCCCCACCAGACCCTGAACACTCCTCAGTCCTTAGGACTTGGTACAAAAGTCCTATTTCTCCAAAATGCTTCTCTAGTTGCCAGTCCTCCCACTCCCCACCACATACACACAGTCCTGACCCTCTAAGTACTGCTTAGAGTAGGACTGTCCCCACCAAGTCAATGGGAAGTGGGTTTTGGAGGCAAGACCTTAGAGGCAGAGACAGGTAGTGTCTAGTGGAAGGGAGGCAGGTTCTCTTGTGGGGAAGGGGCTGATCTCTTTTCTTTGCCTCTTCGGAATGCTTTTCATTATGAATGATGAATCTTGAGTCTACCTACATAAGCTTGGCAGCGCTGAGGAGTCAATGCTAATGGGTTTTCAAACCCACCATTAACTATCTCTAATTACTTGGGCTAAGGGACTTTCACTTTTATTATGGGACTTTCATTTTTGCCTTTGTAGCCCCAGAGCTTGACACCAGTAGGTGCTTAATAAGGGCTGGCTGATCGATTTTCCTAACAATTCTGTGAGGAAGGGGATTGCTAAGCCCATTTAACAGATAGGAAAAAGCAAGGCTTAGAGAGAGGTTCAATGATTTGACAAAAGCAAATTAATGGCAGGGACAAGGTATCTTTTTCCATTGGTTCATACTGGGTTCACTGATGAAATGGAGTGAAAAGCAGGACTTTGTAACAGGTCCAACCTAATTAAATCTATTCAGTTCAGCCCCACTGGAGGATGCAACAAGAGACCTAGAAGCAAGCCACTGTCAGAATATACTTCTGACTGCTGGGAAACATCCAGGTCATAGCTCATAGATTGAAAACCTCATTGCTAGAGCTGGAAATCTAGGAGTTGCTGACAGCTGCATTCTTGGAGCTAGCTCTCGAAGATGGAGGAAGAAACTTAAAAACAAAGGAGGAGATAAGAAAACAACTTGGGTCAGTTTTTGCTGAATAGCTTTCCCAGATTCCTAGATTGTTAGAGCTAGAAAGGGACCTTAAAGGCCATCTGGACCCCTCTCACAACTTTAAAGGTGAGGAAGTTAATGCCTAGAGGAAATGACTTGCTGAGAAGCAATGTGGATATTGTGCTGGGTAACCATAGGCAAATTATCTAACTGCTCTGAGCTTCAGTTGCCTCATCTGTGAGTGAGAACAATACTCGTAGTGCCTACATCACATGAAATAGTGTATGTAAATGCTTCACAACCTTTAAAGTGTTATATAAATATCAGTTATTGTTGTCTACAGTCACAGTGCTACTCGGGGTTAGATCTGTCACTTGAAGAGGGGTTTCTGGATTCCTAGTCCAGTGCTCTTTCCTATACCATGTAACATCTCATGTACCACTAAGACCCACCAGTAGGTCCAAAATGTCTGGTAACGCACCTTGGTTCCAAAAAGAGCCAAAAAACCTTTTGTGGCAGCCTAGTACAAAGCCATTTCTGGATTCTGCTACTCAGGCACTGCGAAGCTTTGGGGATCAGTGAGAAGACAAGAATGCACAAAATATTAAAGTTGGTAAGGGTGTTGCAATCGAGAGGGTAGTCTTTGGATCAAAATGGCATCTGGCTGTGTCACATGAAACACCAGTTCCTGGCCAACCTTTAATTTGCTTTGGAACGTATGTGGTGCTGATTGTTTGCGTCTTCTTTTTCTGGGCATAACTTATCACTTTGTAATAATGTCTCTTGCATCCATCCCTTCCTCTCCATTCACCTTGCCATCATCCACGTCCAGATTCTTATTGCCTCGGTCCCTGGCTGCAGTAGCTCTCTAGCTTTGAACTAATTAATCTGTTGATAGGCTCCAGGGGTGGGGAACCTTTCGAAAATAAGAGCAAGTGAGGATTGAGTCCTCACTTCTGCATGGCTTTCAAATTCTTCTAAGTCCCCAAACTCCCAACATGCACCCTTCCTCACCATCGTCCTTTCTTGAAGTCTACCTATGCCATGCTTGTACCTTTCCTAATGCTGTTTTCCTATCCAGCAATTGTGATTCCTTCATCTAAATCCTGCCCATCCTTCAAACCGTTTTGTCTTGCCTCCATTATGCTTCCTTCCATATATTTACACACTTTCCCCTCAATTTGAACTTAGTGTCACAATTTAGCACTTACTCGCTTCCTATATATTAATCTTGTTTGTCCCCAACTAGACTGTTGACTTGAGAACAAAGACTATATTGAACTTTTGTATTCCACTCCCTCCACCCCCCCAGCCCCCTCAGCCCATACCTAGTATAATACTCACTGAATGTTAATTGGGTGATTTAGTGACTCAGACCAGATTTTTCAGAGATGCCTATCCTGGCTCCACGAGCCAGACAAGGCAGGATTCTTGATGGCTCTTCGGCTCAGGTCAGTGTAGACATTGCCTCTAGTGGTGTAGATGGCAACTTATCCAAGCTCTCAATCTGCCATGGGCTGGAGGTCCACTCAGTTTACTAAACATTTTCCTCTTGTTCTCTTGATGGAGCTACCAATGGAGCACAAAGGCTGCCCAGTTTTTATTCTCAACATATAACCAGCCTGTTTCCCTTTCCAGTCTGCTACTTTTCTGATAACATCTGTACGCTATTTCTCTCATAGTCGGTCCTTGGTGAGCTGTTGCAACCTACTCAAGCCCACTGGGAGGGAACCTTTCATCGTTGAGTAGGCAACCTCCAACTTCAAATTCCATTCCATTAATTGCTGTCATCCTATTGTTTTTTTTTTAATGGGCATTTGTTTCAAGATGACTCTTGAGGTCATTAAAAGTACTGCACAATTTCCTAAAGACAACCCAGCTCACCGCTCTTCCTGCTCTAATCTATGCTCAGCTTATCATCCACACAGTGTCTGTGGGGCATCCTAGTGACTGAGTTCAATGGGTTGTGTACAACCTTTTATAAACTGTGGATACTTACAATGGACTCTTTTGAGTGATTAGGAAGCTCATTTAAGAGACTCTGTATTTAGCTTTCCTGATTATTTTTTTATTAAAAAATTGCAGGTGATGTAAAAAGATGATACGCATGCGTGTGTGTGTGTGTGTATCAATCTAAAAGACAGACTGCAATATCTCAAGGGAACACAGTTCCCACCAAAAAGAACTTGATTTTGAGTCAAGTCCTAAAAGGCAGAGCTCAGTGGTTAGTAGAAAAGAGGCA